ATAACGTTGCTGTTTTCTTCTGTTGTCTCCGTATCTGAGTACCATTAGTATAACTCGTTACTCTTCTGCTCAGCAAGACCATCAGCTTCCTGATCACTAACAAACAGCAAATGCATCTCAGGTTGAGTTCCTTCAACCTGCATGATTCGCACTGCGAAAGTATTCGATTTCAACCTCATCATCTTCGCTGAGGTCAAACTTGTTAGGATATTCCTCTGGCGGTTCAGCTGTGTGAAACATGCTAATTTGCCTGGCGTGTGGATGCCTCACAGTTGTTGATGCTGATGAACTGGAGGTTCCTTGGTTAGGGCCGGCTTCTTTGTGTTGGTTGCTGATGCTGAGTTCCTGGACGGGGCCTCGCCTCGCTCTTTTGATCACCTTCTACAATCTTCTAAATTCCCCTCAGCCTCTTTCCCATATTCTCTACATTTACCTTCTCCTTTGAAACCACCTTGGGAACCTTTACCTTTTCCTTTGCTTTTGTCTTCCACAAACCTGTTCTATTGTGGCCCTCAACATTTCCTATGTCCATAGCAGCTTGACCACCACGGTCATTTCTACTTCTTTGCAAATGGGTCATGGTAGGCTGCATCCATCTTTGAGCTCCTTCAGACCTACGCAAGTAGGTCTTCAAGTCTTCATACTTAGTGTTTTCATGTTCAGAAGTAAGTGTTGCCGAACATGCTGTGGGACTCCATCTACCAAAGTTCCTATCTTCAAGGACTCAGACACTTTTTGCTGAGATGCTTGCTCAAAGTCTTCAAGAAGTTCCTCAAACTTGAGGATGTTCTCGCTGTAACCAGCTTCCTTGACAAAGCGGGAAGTTCATGATCTGCTGCGGAGTTGTAAAGACCGGGCTTTGGTTGCAGGTGCGTTGAATCCCAGAAGCTTTCTAGAGCTTCTAGGCTACTTTCCTGAGGAATAGGTTGTACGACGCCTTGAGGTCGATTCTTGGAATAGCTGATGAAGATGCCGTAGAGCCTTCTTCTGTAGCGTAGTCTGCCATAACTTGCTTCTTTCCCGGGTTGATCTATTTTACGTCCAAGGCTAACAGGGAATGTGAAGTAAAAACTCCTGCGCTAGTAGCATCCTGAGCCTCTGTGATAGCTTCAATATGCCTCTGCCCTCCTGAATATGTAGCTACTGCTGTAGCTAGCTCATTGGCTGCTTGTGATCCTGACGAGGTTGACAGCTGCAATGCTCTAGCAAGCTCCTGAAATTGTGCTGACGTCTGTTGAGACTGTTGAAGTAGGGCTTGTATTGCTTGATCCATTGTCTCAGCAATCTGTACTTTCTGTACATGCACACTAGTATGCTTGGTGTGTTTTCCTGCATGCTGCTGCTGCTTTCCTCCACTCCCTCTTTGACTGCATCTTGTCTTGAACAAAGTGTTCCTATGAGATGTGTAAAAAAGAATGATCCAAGTAATCATTCCTATGTCAGTCCATGCAAACAAGATGCATCCTACGATCCTTGGCCAAATGAATTCTTTTGCTGTATAAGATTTGGGCGTAAGCCGGCCCAAGGCTCCACTCACGGATGATGTAGAACAGGGTAGGCCTTTTCCTCTAGCTTGAACAAACTTGCAGTAATCAACGCCATGGAGGGCATAATCTGCTTTGCCATTTCCTATTTCCAAACCTGGTCCATGTTCTTGTTCTGGGTCATGTACATCTTCATGAAGCCGTTGTAGGTTTCCTCTACATTCTAAGTAACATAGTGAAATCAACTCGGTGTGATCATCTTCTTCATGTTTTCCTTGTGCTCGCATCTTCTTCTTCTGCTTCTTATTGTTTTGTTATCCTTCTTCACTGCGTCGACGCCTTCTTCCCCTGAGGGCGAAATCATTTCCAGGCTGAATTCGTTTTTTTTGGATGCATTTCCTTCCGCATGCGGAAAACCGCCATCACTGAGTTCCAGCCTACAACCGAATGTGTCAATTTTTCCTGCAAGACATGCCATATAGACCCACGCCAATCCATATTTCTGCCATGAAAGCAGTTCCTGAGGCCAGCCAGTAGTGTTTCGCTTTCATTTGCAAAGGTTTCTACTATAGAACATTCCAGCAAGCAAACTTTGCAGCGCTGAAAATGGCGAACCTCACGAACGTGGTGCACAGCAGAGTTCGTAATGTGTTCACAGGCTTTCTCGTGGTGTTTGCGCCCGTGGCGCACTGCAACTGGCAGTTCTGGCAAATGCTTTACATCTGTTCTTCTTTCCTTCATCTTTTCCTGTCTCTTTGCAAACTGCCAACATTTTCAGCTGACAATCAAAGACATTCCTGTCAGAGGTATTCCTGACACCATCAAGAGTATCACCATGGCTTGTGGCAGCATCATCGCTCCCCAAAGGTCCTGGTAGAGCTCCGCTACCATGACAAAAACAGCTCTTGACAGACACTTCTTTTCTCCTCAGCCTATGACCGACTCAAAGGCCCAAAGGCCCAAGCAAATCGATTTGTTGATTTCAATGAAACTGATCCGTGTTGATCCGTGTTTAATGCCACCGCCATCAGCTCTCGCGAGACTGCTGATGACGCGGTGTGGGCCTGCAATGCACGGTCGCGTGCTGCTTGAAAGCAGGACTAGGGTAGGGGGATGTCAGAGTCCACGGCACCAAGCGAAGGACTGGAATTCGTCAATGCACAACAAGAGTTCAGCAAAGCAGTGATTGATGGAGGCATGTTCTGTTTGGGCACACTGGTGATATGCGAGATCCGCCTGGCTCTTGGCAAGCACATCTTGACTGCTGATTGGGATTGCAGACTCAATTCGTCGCTGTCAGGCACACAAATCTGCAGAAAGTGGATTTCGTTACCACAAACCAGTACTTTCAGCAGGACTGGGCTATGTCTGCTCTGTCAATTTGCTCGAATGTTCCTATCATTCATGCGGGCTTGCATTGTTGTGATGCATGTGGCAATGATCAGTTTCGCAGGAGTTTGCAAAAGCACGCCGATAAGCTGTTTGCAGCAAATGCAGGCGAGGCCTGCCCGACTTCAACCTGACAGTTACAGGTGACAGGCATAAAGCATGACCTGGATTGTTGTCGTGGAACACACACTCAGTGACTCGAGCTTTCAACGATCAACATTTCCCTATCCATGAGCTCCATCAGTTGAAATCTGCATGTCTTGTAGATTCACAGTCGCCCAAGTCCTAGCCACTTCTTGGGGCTCCTGTTGATGGTCTCGTTGCGAGTTGTCTGGTAATATGTCGAGGGTGAGGCTGTGGGCAACAAGCTGTCCTTGAGATTGAACAGGCAGGGTATCGGAAAAGACAGCAAAATTCTCTTCACGCACAATGTGATTGTTTTTTGGAGATGTCCTCCCCGTACAATATGTCATTATGGTTGTTCTGTGGAGATTTTTCCTCATGACAGTAGATCAGCAGCAGGGAGCCGTCCTACTGAGCCGCGTTCCTTGATATCATCATGACTCGTTGATGTTTTTGCCGAGCCTCATCTATTGATGAACCAGCCAGTGAAATGCGCAGGCACTCCGCCGTGATTTCGGCAACTGCTTTGGGTGCGAGCTGACAGTTGCGCATGTAATGGGCAAGGATAGGGTTGTGAGACCTTTGCAGGGATTCCAAGTGTATCAGATCCATCCGCTTCCACTTGCGTCGAACTGTGCTCACAACTCACCTGAAAGATCTGAAAGCAGAAATCGACGTCTCAAGCAATTGCTTCCACACTTTGGTAGCGACGTGGATTGAAACTTCATAGCATTCCTTAGGGCAATGTTTCACGCAATGCAGACTGTGTTTCACAAGACGACAATAGCGAGCATTGTCCAATGGACACGGCTGGAGTCGACAAAAAGTGACAAGCAGCAAGCCAAATTGTCACGTTCCGCGGTTGTCGTTCTGGAGATGCGTGAATACGTCAAGCTTGCACTTCGCGCTTTTCTTCAAGACTTTAACCTTAAAGCTATTGGGGTCTGCTCGGATTTGCTCCAAGTGATCCTGCGAGGCTTGCCATGGTTTGACGCGTTTGGCCAGTCGTTTGGTAGAGAAATGGACGTTGGGGTTTGGTCGCGATTCGTTTTATCGTACCTGCAATTTCCGTCACAATTTCAAGGCTGACTTGATATAGATGCTCTGCAACATCTCCATATGCCAGACTCCTTCTAGCAGCAATCCAGCTGTAGGTGATCTTGGTCAGTGTGTTTTCGTTCCATCGTTGTTGAACAGCTAGCTCCACGACCTGCACAGATCGGGCCGGGATTTCAACTTGCAGCAAAGGAGATATGTAACAACACACGGGTAAGATGACGGGTGCGTCTGAATTAATGGCACTGTTGCAGGCTGTCGCAGGCGTCATATTGCGCCATGCTGTACTGGACAATTGCCGGTTCTTCTCCTCTGCCGGTAGACACGATGCAGCCAAGCGATCTGTAAGGGGTCACATCCTGAAGTTTCCATCCATATTGTTGACAAAGATATAGGCAACGCATTCCAGCGCTTGACACTTGCATCTTCACCTTCAGCAGGCCCTTCGCCACATGACAGCAACCATCTTGAAAAGCGCAAATTGAAGAGACTTTGCAATTCAGCAAGATGAGCAGCATAGTAATGACCACGCTGCCAGCAATACACTGTTAGACCTAGTTGAGACAACTTCCTGCTTTGAGAGCATCATGAACAGCCTCGACTTCGAGTCAGAGGACATACTAGTACCTTAAGGGTTTTCAGACAATCCTGCTGGGATCTGATTCAGCGTGCCGATTGCCTTGCAAGCCAAATCCCGCGATTACTGCTTTGAGATGCCTGCAGGTAGCTTGCAGGTTATGATTCTGTGGTCAGGAGTCCTCGACGCTGCAACATGAGGCATCTCCTTGTGCTGCAATTGTACTCCGCAGGCTTTTATTCTTCCAAGTTGGAAAGAGGGCACCCGCCTGTGATGTTGTTGTTCGGGGACCGCGTTTATGTTGAGGTACATCTGTTGTACGTGCTGATTAGGCTTCATGCTGGCGGCGCTTGCCTACAGCATGGTTTCACATGCTGCTCGCCCGCTGCTTACGTGGCTAATGACATGGGACCGGGTGGTTTTCAGTGCAGCCAGTTCTCGTAAGGTCGAGTGCATCCACGTTTACCTGGCAGTTTTCGCATGGTTCAGACTAGTTACTCGGCCAACAGCATACCCAGTCCATGACCTTGGTGTATTCCAGAATGAACTTGCTGAGGTGACGAATGTCAACTTACGCACTGCTATGGGTGCCCATTTCCACATTTTGGATGGCTTGGAAGGCTACATGAATGCTGCATGTTTTTTGGGCGGCCGCACGCTGGTTGACATTTCAGAAAGAAGCTCACCATGACCTATTCCCTACTCCAATACAGCTGTACTGTCCTCTGCAGATTTGCATCAAGAGCAGCAACACGTCTTCGACAATTCTGACATGTAAAGAAAAGTTCTCTAAGGCTACTTCAGCAACCTCTTCCTATTTGGATCGACTGCGGCCACGTCGGTTCATCTGCCCAACGTCACTGATACCTTCTTCCTTGGCTTGAGACTTAGCACGCCAGTCAAAGTCAGAAGCTGGATCTGCTCTTTGACAGCTCCTTGCCGCATGGTTTGGCCAGGCCAAGAGCAGCGAACAAAGCCGATCTCCAGATGCAGACGTGGTTTCCAGCTTTTGTTTGTCTCGCTGCAGTCTCTGGTCATTGTCTTTAGCTGAGGCATACTGCAAGGTTCATTGTGCAATTGTTACTTCTTACTTGCTAAATCTTTTCCACGGGCAAGAGGTCTCCATCAAATTGATTCTTGCAGTGCCTAGCATCAGGGCCGTTTGCAGTTCTTACTTCTTATTCGGTGCGCAGAGTCTATCCGACAAACATGACTCCTCCAGGAGCTGCTTTCACGGGTGATAGCAGCCGTGCGCATATTGAGTGAAATTCAAGGCGAGAGGCTAATACATAGTCGTGTATTTGAACCTACGTACTTTGTCTGTGCCAGTGGCCCCCCCCCAGATTTAGTGGCTGGGCTTGAGTAGCTGATTCAGCTCAGAAGTGAAACCAGGACGATCCTTTACAATGGCTCTACGCTCACGCTTCCGCCTACATACATCGACGGTGCCAATATACCTTGGATTGTCCTGGTGCTCCCGCTTAATTGAGGAACTTGATCACTTGTCACGACGCATCTCATCATGCCTTTGCAGGATGTGTTTTTGGCTTAATGGCGCGCTCGGCGCAGACAAAAGCCACAACTGCAGCAGGCAATTGTCTAAAAGTTGTTTGACCTTGCTCACCTGAGCCAGCGATCCACAAGCAAGGGTAGAGTATTTGTAGTTGGCCTCCACATGGCAAAACGCTAAAGAGTGGATCTGTGAACTAGACTAAAACGGCCAGCTGAAGCTTCCAAGAGCATCTAGGAGCATCTTCGTAAACAAACAAAATCTCAACAGCGCTCAACACCGAGGCCTGGATGGAATTCTCAATGTACCCGTCCTAGTCCGACTGCCCCTTGGGCTCCAGGCCTCTGCCAAAAGAATGTGTTTACATCTAGTTGGAAATGATCCAGTGTGCCTGCTTCGAGCAAATACGCCGTGAGCCCCAATGCTTCAAACCCTCAGGCCCCACAGAGGAACATTCACCCTCACGAACATTTCCAGAAAGGACATCGAGAGGTACCGGCATCACAAAATCTAGAATACGTGAAGGAAGCAAGAAATCTTCCAGCCTTGAATCATGAATGAACAAGTTTGATGAAGAAAGCAACTGAGCCAAGATCATGCAAATTCCTCAAGCGCCCAACATGCCAAACGAGGGCTAGGCCTGACCAAGCAACTCAAAAGCTTCGAGCCACAAAGACCGCGAGGCAATAGCCAACATCTTGACACCAGCCCTAGACTCCGAAGACACTTGACAGGCTGTGAAGATGCCCAAAAAGCGGCAACCATAACATGGTGGCTTGTGGTCTAACTGTACAGCTGCCTACGAGCCTTTCAGCCCCACACGACACAATTCGAGACCCCAAACTGCGCACTACGCCATGATCGCTCAATTTTCAGAGCTGCAAACTTGGCAAGCCATAAACACACCACTGCGAAACGGACTGCAGGGGGCTGTTGCAAGTCTGGAAACTGCTGAGAACGAATACCGAATTTCAAGCTAGGATGGACACAACCAGAAGAAGGTGCAGCTAACCAAGACAAATGGCAAAGCTCGGACACAGGTGGAGTCAGCAGTTCCTAAACAGCTTCACATGCCACACCTGCCGAACTTCTGCACAGGTCTGGTTGCTGCCGCTTGGCGGTGCCTCGTTGGTGCTTCTGCACTCGGTCTTGCTTGCCAGACGGCGCATTCTAGCAGCTATTAGCAGGAGCTCTGCATGGCTGCAACGTGCTGCAAAGTTTGAAGTTTGCAGAGCTCCGTCGAGCCAGCAGGCCATTACCGAAGTGTGGCAAGTGAATGCAAGTGAGGTATTTGGAGCTTTGACTGCGCAGAGACTCGTCTGTGGGTATGTGCTTTGACTCACTGCCCGCATGCTGTTGTGGGCAAAACTGGTCTCCACAATCAGCTCAGGCTTATCTTCAGTTCAGCTGGGATATTGTGCGGACACCTGAGTACAGGCTGCTGTATGAGTAGGAGTAGGAGGAAAGAGCGTGCGCTTTGCAGTTTTTTCCTGCGTCATTGTGGCGGGCTGGACCATGCGGTGAGAGAGGTGGTCTGTTGGCTTGATGGCATTTGCGGCGGTATTGCTGCCGGTGGTCTGGGTCATGCAAATTCTGCTTTTCAACTTGCCTGACGCGCGGCCGAACCTGTAGCAATTTTCTACCACATGACGCCATATGCAGGTCTTTGCTGATCTGTATTGAATGTCCAAGGACCAACTGGATGTCCTCCGCGGAAGTGTTCTGAGTGGCTTGCTGCTCTTGTTCGCATTGGAGCCTGGTTGCTATTGAAAGAAACAGCAAGGTATGTGAACTGCTCCCATGGACTTCATGTACTCCATAATATGATGGTGAGGGGAGCAGGCAAAAAGTGATGTGGGGCGAGTGAGGGACGGAGATGCACGCCTCACCATATGCAGCTAGAAGAGGCTGTTAGCAAGCAGAGCAGCACAAATGGAGATCAGCAACCATACTTGAGTGCCACGGTATCCCTGCACCGTGTCAAGATTGAGACCAATGGTTCTGCGGCGGCAGACAAAGGCGGTGGGGCAAGTCAGCAGGCATACGCACCATGCAAAATCACGCCACCTGAGCCGGGCCGCTGCTTTGACGCCTTCTGTGTTGTCGGCTTTGATTTTGCAATCGTCGTGGGCCAGCAACCAACAGCCTCACGTCAGGGCCCGCGCAAAACTGATCATCAGCCAACTCACCATCCGCGAGCCTCAGATTTTAGAAGATCGCTCAAGTTTATGAGGTAATGCGCACATGTTTCATTTACGTGCCTCTGAATGCGCTTCTTTTAAAAATCTCTTCGGTTTAAGTCTACCCTCGCTGCCTGAGGAATTATGACCAGAAGTTATGAAGATCTTGTTCAGTATTTACTGAAAACTTTCAGTGTTGAAAAATTAGGTTCGTTCAACAACTTTTCCGATCAAGGGGGGTTGAGAGCTGTTTGCAAACCCTCTTTAACTTGCTTTTTGCCGGAGGTGGGGGTTCCAAGTTTGCTGGCAAGCTGAGGACCAGCTGGCTTTTCCCAGCGTGCCCTGCCATGACTGGGCCTCTCAACTTTGAATAATCCTTTCCCCCTCACGTTAAACCCTTCTAAAATTAGATGAGAAGTTCAGGGGCGTAGAAATCCAGAAGAGCACTTCTCAAAGGGCAAGACTGCTTTAAAAGGGGCCACCGATTAAAGAATTAGGAGGTTCTGGAATTATCAATCAAGTAGTCCACCGAATAATTAACTGAATATAAATGAATAATCTCAATCCATTTGACATTGAAACGTTAATTCGATCTTCAATTAATGTGAATTGAGTAGTTATTGGATTTTCATGGAGTTTAAAAGGGCTTCAAAAGCAGCCCTATCTAATTCTTGCAATGAATAAGCCACCCTAATCTCAAATAATGTTTCAGGCCCCGGACTATTTGTTATCACGGGGGATGTCGTTTAGAATTAGGGTGAAGGGTTTAGATGACTGCTGGAGAGCTCTGTTTGATGTAAATGTTCCACTTGTTACAAAGCTTCACATGAAGTGGCCTTACTGAGATCTCTTATTCCGAACCCGGCACTTGCAACTTGCCGCAAACCAAGGCATCCGAATTCCAGAGCTTGACCTTTCGGCGGCCAATGTTGCATTTGATTCTGGGTGTCTCTGCCAGCAAACAGAGCACGTGGCTGTAATGTCAGAAAAAGTTATGCATCTTCGGCCAATTGGGTATCTCGAAGGGTGTGCGTCTGTATTGGGTCCCAGATCAATTCTGGTGGACCCTTGTGGAACATGCTTACACCAACACGTTCATCAGTCAGGCAGTAATAAGAGCTTTGGTCTCAAGCTTGTGGATGCGACCGGCCCTTAGCAAAAGGCTAGCACTGCAGCAGTGCTGTAGAAGAGCTTCAGGACATTGTCTAAGATGATAAGATGAAATGACTGAAGCTTCAGGTTATGGGCAGCCGAACTTGGAGACCTCTCGCGACTGCGGCGGTGCCTGTCTGCAGTGAGAGAGGAGGGCCTGCTCGTTTCGCGGTGGATCCTTGCAGGTACTTGCACGACCCCGAGAGTGCTGAGGAGATTCTGCGGATTTGCCGAGATGTCAGCCCAAGAACCTGAGATATCTGAGATGGGTAGGTCGGATTCTTGTTTCTTCAGGGCACTGGGCAGGTACAGCGTGCTGAGGCAGACGCGAGCCGCAGACTTCGTCGGGATCTTACCACTTGGACAATCACCCCCTCGTGAAGAGCCAGCTCCATTTTAACCAGCAGGGATTCGTGCAATTGCACTGATCGGGCATGAGCTGACATTTTGAGCCGAGAATAGAACTCTCACTCTGCCAGGCAAACAGTGCTATGCATGATATCTCTGCTCAGCCACCCCACGATGCTCATGCAGGCATCATGCAGCCCGGCAATGAGTGACCTGCACGCCGGCTCGGCCAATTAAAAAGCATTGTCCGATGTGCCAGCTTTGCAATAACCAGTTTGTGCCTCGGAGCAAAACTTGTCCGGGCTGGGCATACATTACTTCTTCGCCGCTACATCCTGTCGGTTCAGACAACGTGTATGGCCCAGCCGCGCTTTGATTCAGCGACTTTGTTACCATGACAGATTCGGAGTATTCATTCTCTTTGACGACATTTGCCCCGTCTGGCAAGCTCTTGCAGATCGAGTACGCGCTCAACCGTGTGGCTGAAGGGCGCCCTGCTCTGGGAATCAAAGCCAAGAACGGAGTTGTGCTGGCCACTGAGAAAAAGGTCACCAGTCCGCTTGTGGACGAGAAGACCTTGGCCAAGGTCGAGAACCTCTCCGACAGCGTAGGAATGGTCTACGCAGGAATGCCGGCAGATTATCGTGTTCTACTTCGCAGAGGGCGCAAAGTTGCGCAGCAGTACTACACCATGTACCGTGAGCTGATCCCGGTTTCACAAATCGTGCGCGAAGAAGCTGCAATCATGCAGGAGTTTACCCAGTCCGGCGGAGTCCGGCCTTTTGGTGTATCCTTGATGATCGCAGGCTTCGATGACAGCGGCCCACAGCTCTTCCAAGTGGATCCGTCTGGCACGTACTTCGGGTGGAAAGCCTCAGCCATTGGCAAGAACCACGTCAATGCAAAATCCTTTTTGGAAAAGCGCTACAGCGAAGACATTGAGCTTGAGGATGCAATCCACACCGCCATACTCACACTGAAAGAGGGCTTTGAGGAAGCAATCACGGCCGAGAACATCGAGATCGGCATTGTGGGTACCGACAGGAAGTTTCGCGTGCTGACTCCAGCCGAAGTCCAAGACTACCTAGGAGAGGTGGAGTAGATGATTGCATTGCCAGGAGTCTACTTCAGCCAGGATTCGGCACAGATCCTGTTTCAGATGACACGGCTATGCGATAGTGCCATGTAATCAATGTATGGCATGACGTACAGATTCGCTGCGAATGGACTGCGCGTAAAATTGAGTTGTGCTCTATGTCTTCGTTTAGAAGTGTCTAACAGCTCTTGCATCTGCATGGTCGGCAGCGATTGCACACTCTTGAAACTTGGCATGATGTGATTTCCAACCTCCACCTAGCCACAGAAACAGCATGCAGCGGCAACATTCCAAAGTAGCACTGCAGTGAAATGGCCGATCGACTGATCAAGTTGGCAGAATATCCTACTGCCATTGAATCAGAGGGCCTTCAGTAGCTGACAGGATTGCTTTCATGCTGAGCCTTCACTGCAACTGGCATGCCTCCCACGCGTGATCCGAGAGATGATGCAGGCAGCCTCGGTCCGCATTTGGCTGAAAGGAACAGCGACTATCAAGTCAACACAAGCAATAGGCTCTGATAGACTGGTGCTGAAAACGCTTCGGAAGCTGTTTGCTTTCAGTTTGCCTTTCTGTTGCGAAACTGCTCCTGACAGATCGTAGTCTATGAAGGGGCACCGGTCGCGCTTGACACGGTATTTAGGGCCACCCCCACAGACCTTGAAGGATGGAGATATAGACTGGATGGCGATTAGGAATGTGTTTCTTGCAGTTCCAATAAACTTTGGACCGTATTTTTATTTTGCCAGTTAACTCTGTGCGGCAGGCTAAGGCCTGAGGCGCCAATGAAGATTCTACAAAACACTGCAAACATTATGTTCGTGGCCAAATGAAACCGTATCAAAGCGAGCCAGAGTAGGTCTGTGTAAGTACAAGGCTTCTCGCAGACATCCATCTTGAACTGCCAGGTCGCACAACGACTATGGTCCTCGCTGAAGAGCGAAACAGCAGCCACAACTACAGCAATCCAGGCATGCTAATTCAGAGCCAGAAGTTGTCACGCAGCCTGCACTAGTGACGCGGGTGCTGGGTGCGTAGGGACGTGTTCAATCTTGGTCCTGGACTGGCTGCACTGAAAGCTGTCGGAGGCCTTCCGGGGCCCGGTCCACATCAGCATACGCGGCATTGCCAGGATTCGAATCAACCGCCGCTATCTGAAAAAAGCCTTCCCATCCACCCTGTAGAGGTTTAATGCGTGTGAATCATGTCAATCACATGGTCACGAGGCTTGCTGAATGGAAGCGTCAGCTTATAGAAACTTGCAGAGATGTAGTATGTTGTATGCCTGCACGCATCAAGGCTATACGGGCGTCAAGGCTGTCAAGATGAGTCCGCCTAAAACTGAGTGGCAGGCAAAGCAGCTGGATTTTGGTTCGTGCTTCTAACATGAATCAAGCAGCTAGTGGGGATTGCGTTGCGTGTCCTTTTCTTTCCCACTATACTTCGATGATTTCATAGAAAAGGTGGGACAACATCCAAGATGCCAGCTGGGCAGTTGGGAGAGCTGAGCATCGGGACGGCCGGCACCGTCCTTCGCTTGCCTTGCTCACAGTGGGGCAATCGCGGCCTTGCGCCCCACGACAGTCCCGTCCACACGCCCGGGCTTCGGCATGTTCATTGTTCGTGCCTCTAATGCTACTGCGGCCACTGACTGGCGCGTGCTGCAAGGGCTGGTGGCCGGATGTTTGGTTTTCTCGCCACGTATGCCTCCGTCTGGCCGCTGCAGGCCGCATCCACCCCGCTTGCCTTGCTCTTTTGCCATGTAAGTGGAGCACGGAACGGATTGTCCGGGCGGACCAATCTCGAAACAAAGGTCTGGGTGAAATGGGGTCGTAATAAATAACTCCGGCGGTTGGAGCCTGAGCTCTCTCTCTCTCTCTCTGTGTGGTCATCGTCATCGCAGAAGGAGTGGAGTAGCAGAATAGTGGGTGAAGTAGGAGTGGGAGGCGGATTAAGAGGAAGCGTAGGGAGAGGGAGAAGGAAGAGCAGGAGAGGTTTCTAAGTTGGTTTCAAATGCGAGCCAGCAGTTTTTTAACGGGTTGTTTGGCCGGGGTATTTCGTTAGTACCAACCGTCCAATATGCCGACAGGCTATGTCAACATAGGCATAAAGGTTGGCAATTAGCATGACATTGTCATCACAATTTTGGTGATTTTCTTTGGACCCGGAAATTGTATTTGCACCACCTTGTTTTAAGACGATGTCCACATTGGTTTCATGCTTTTCGTACAGTTCCTATGTCACGCCCAAAGAGTGACCTCAATTGGAAGCAAATGCAGAGTAGAATCCCTTGGTCGCCAGAATTCAGATGGTTTGAGGGAGCGAAACCACAGCGAATACGTAAGCAGAGTCCTAAGTAGAGTCAGATTCACTGAGGCAAGGATACCAAAGCAAAACCCGAAGCAGATGCGTAGGGATTCCAAAGGTTTTTGTTGGCCACGTCACTCTCAGCCCCACGGGACAGTTGAGGACGAGTTGAGCACAACACAACCGAGCTGAAGCTATTCGACGCTCGAACTACGATACAACCATGCAAGCCCGCGACGAGCCAAGCATCTCACAGCGAAGGGCAAAGAGGAGTCTACAAAACCCACCTGAAGTTCCTCAACGTTGATCCAAAGAGAAGGGGAACATAGGTGACCACATTGACATACACCCGGAAGCCTCTCGGTTGTAAGAACCCTGTCGAAGTAGGGATTGCGGAAGGTTAAAAAGCGTTGCTAGCAAGAAGTCCGGATTGTGCCATTGTTTGGCAATTCCCAAAGCAATGACCCAAAGGGAACACACACACACACACACCCACACACCAGATATCAGGTCTGAGCTTGTTGTCAGTTCGATTTTTCTTTTTCATTTTCTTAAGAAAGATCTGATAATGATCTTTCTTTTCTCCTCATTGGGTTCTGGGGACTTTCAGAATATGTCGATTGAACTTGAATAATCTTCAGAATAATGTTGTCAGGGTATTCATTGAAGCCTGGAGGCTAACAATGAATTGCATCGACTCTGGATGA